TAAAGTAAATTGGCTTGTTTACTATGGATCAATGTTTAATTACTTAAATCGAATATTTCTAAGTTGTTTCCTATTCAACGAAAACCGCGATTCTCATAAAAAAAACACAAATCTTAAATTTTCAACAGCGGGAAAATGGGCAATTTAATATGAACTTTTTTGTAAATCTCAAGCGCTGCAAAAAAGTTCATATAAACAATGGACCAATTTTCAGCAGATAAGCAGCAATTCCAAGTTTTGCGTTTTTTTTAAGTATGTCGTGTTTTTTGTTCAATAGGAAGCGATAATTAAAGAAATATTAAATTTTACTTTTATTATGATATTTACAACTGTATTAGTATGGATAAATCATGTAAATGTGTACAGAGGAATAAATATATTAAATTTAAGTAATTAACAACCCAGCAATTGCATCCCAAATGCTTCAATCACACATCATAATTCTAAAAGAATGGTGTCAAAACTGGAGAATTAAAATAAACTCCAATAAATCCCACCAAATTACCTTTACCCTTCGTCGTAAACCAACAACTTCCTGTCCTACAGTTTCCTTTAACAATACTCCACTTATCCCTGTTGAGCAAATCCGATACCTAGGACTCCACCTGGACAAACGACTAACTTGGAATCCTCATACCAGACTGAAACGACAAGAAACCGCTCGACGTTTCCGATTACTTCAGCACCTACTGGACAAACGCTCTAATCTTCCAATTAATTACAAAACACTCATATACTTGACTATAATAAGGCCTATTTGGACTTACGGAGTTGAGCTATGGGGCTCCACTAAACCATCGAATTCCTCTCGTATCCAATCCTTACAATCCAAAATCCTTCGTAAAATCCTCAATGCTCCCTACTTTGTTACAAATAAAACCATCCATAATGACCTTAATGTTCCTTTTGTTTCAGATCTGGCCCAATCCAGATACCTATCCTTCCATAATAAACTTCAGAATCATCCCAACCCTCTCGTTTCTAACCTTGCTTCCTCTTCGATACCTGATAACCCTCCGAGGCGTCTGAAAAGAAGATGGCCCCGTGATCTCCTAGTGTAAACATATCATTAGAGTGCTACCATTTGGAAGTTACTCAGCAAGTGTTTTTCATGTCATTATATACATTATGTTCTAATTTACTAGATGTATTTATTTAATACAGTTGTAAATGTCTTTATGAAATAAAAAAATAATAATAATAAACAACTGCTTCACTATAAACTAGAGAAAATTTACATCAAAAGAAAATTGAATGTCACTGTGTTTTTTTAAGCGAATCACGGTATTCGTTGAATAGGAAACAATTTAAACATATTCGATTTAAGTAATTCAACAGGGATCCATGGTAAACAAGCCAAATTTACTTTTAAAAAAGTAGGATTTATCATTGTTAAAACAATTTAAAGGGTCAAAAGATCAGAAATTATTTGTGATTTTTTTTTCATCATAAACTCTACTTATAGAAAAACTTCTTCGCTTAGTAAGTCCGTATTAATTAAATAGAGGTTTATTTAGGAAGAACTTGAGATTTACCTCAAGTTTTGTAAAAATATGATGTGATTTTTTATCCTGTGATGAAAAATTACCTCAATTGTCATCAAAATTGACAACAATTAATTGGTGCAAAGTTTTTATTTCTTGTTCCACCATGATCTGAGATGTATAATAATAAACATAACTACCTAAATACATTTTTTATTTATTATGAAATAAATGTGAAAAATACTAATTTTTCATATTTTTAATTCGGTAAAGTGATTACGCAAACTGTTTTTTACCCAGCTCTCAATTATAGGAATTGATCCGTATTTATGAGTGACAAAATAAAGGATACTGATATTAACGTTTTTATGAAAAAGTTTAGTAATCAAAAGGTTTTTTTTTTTGTGTTTTAAACGTCAATTTTAGGACTAGAAACATTTATTTTGTCACTTATGAATTCTGATCAAATCCTATTGAATTGAAATCTGGGTGAAAAACACAGTTCCGTAATCGCTTTGCGGAATAAAAATAGGCCGCAACGTTACAAGTACACTGGCAGAAATGTCAAAAAAGCTATAAAAGAAATAAAACATTGGTGGAAAATAGTCTTGAATTCATGAAAGGAGAATAATTATTTATTATGTTATATCAGTCGTGAATCGACCCTGTGACACACCCGGCCTCCATCAAGTGGGTACTCTTAATTAAATATTTAATAAAGGGAAGAAACTTGCGGGTTAAGCGAGATCTTGGCCAAATCACCTCCCTGCACAACCGTTGGCCTTGAAACAGCAGTTCCTTACAGAGTGCTAAATCCCCTTTAGGATATTAATAAATAAATTCAAGTAAGTAGAGGGAATTTTTTATAGGAGTGATAGCAGCAAAAAAGTTCACATAAACAATGGGCAAATTTTCAGAAGAAAAGTAGGAAATCCTTGGTTTTGTGTTTTATTAAGTTAGTCATGTTTATTGAATCGAAAGCAATAACTTAAGAAATATTTAATTTTTTTTTATTCTTAATGATATTTACAACTGTATAAAAGAAATACATTTAGTAAATTTGAACATATGGACATAATGACGTGAAAACACTTGTTGAGCAACTCTCCAATGGTAGCACTCTAATGATATGTCTACATTAGGAGATCACGGGGCCATTTTTTTTTCAGACGCCTCGGAGGGTTATCAGGAATTTAAGAAGAAGCAAGGTTAGAAACGAGAGGGTTGGGATGATTCTGAAGTTTATTATGGAAGGATTGGTTTCTGGATTGGGCCAGATCTGAAACATTAAGGTCATTATGTATGGTTTTATTTGGTACAATGTAGGGAGCATTAAGGATTTTACGAAAGATTTTGGATTGTAAGGATTGGATACGAGAGGAATTCGATAGTTTAGTGTAGCCCCATAGCTCAACTCCGTAAGTCCAAATAGGCCTTATTATAGTCATTTATATGAATCTTTTGTAATGAAGTTTAGAGCGTTTGTCTAGTAAGTGCTGAAGTAATCGGAAACGTCGAGCGGTTTCTAGTCGTTTCAGTCTGGTATGAGGATTAAATATTTAATTTAAGTAATCAATAATTGCTTCATTGTAAACTAGATAAACGTTTCTTCAAATTAAAGCAGAATTTGCCATGGTTAAAACCATTCAAAGTTGACTTCTGAGTAGCTAAACTCAGCTAAATTCTGTTTCCACAAAAAAATTAGAAATTATTTATAATTTTTTTTTATCACTCTCAAACCGTTTTACAGATACGTCACTTTTGTAAAAACTTTTTCGTGTAATAAGCTTTAAGTCCCTATTAATTAAGTTGAGGTTCATCAGGAAATATTTTGAGATTATGCTCAAGTTTCGGAAAAAAAATTGATATTTTTTATCCAGTCAAGTAAAATTACCCCTGTTTTCAGCAAAAATGATTACAATTAAATATTGCAAAGCTTTTATTTCTTGTTTTCCCATGATCTGGAATGTATTTTAATAAACCCAATTGCCTAAACTTACATTTTATTTATAAAAAAAATTAATTCGAAAAAACTGATTTTTACCGGTAAACTGGTTGTAAACTGTGTTTTCCACCCAGATATCTATTTTAAGAATTGTTCCAAATTTATAAGTGACAAACTACAGGTTCCTGATCCTAATATTAACGTTTTAATTAAAATAATTGAAGCAATCAGCAAAATTTTGATATTTTGAAAATCATTTTTAGGACATGGACTTTTATTTTGTTACTCACAAATACAGATCAATTCCTATAATAGAGGTCTGTATGAAAAACACAGTTTATAACCAATTTATCCGAAAAATCAGTAGTTTTCAAATTAATTATATTTATAAATAAATAGTGCGGTTAGGCAATCGGGTTGATTAAATCACACAAAAGATCACGGATAAACAAGAAATAAAAGCTTTGCAACAATTAATAGTAGTAATTTTTTATGAAAAGAGGGGTACTTTTACTTGACTGGATAAAAAATATCATAATTTTTTCTCAAAACTTGAGCTGAATCTCAAAATTTCTCTAATAAACCTCAACTTAATTAATACAAACTTAGAGCTTACTAAATGAAGAAACGTTTTCGTAAAAGTGGGAAAACTGTAGTATAGTTGGATGATAAAAAAAAAAAAAAAATGGTGAATAACTTACAACTTTTCTAAAAACAGAACTTCAAAAGTTCTCAGTAAATGGTTTAAACAATGATAAACTTAGTTAAGTTTCTCATATCTAAAAAATTAAAGTAATATCTCTCTGGTAATATGCTAATAGGTAACTGCAAGACTGTTGACGAGAGTCTTGCGCAAGACCAAGACCTAGACCAAGACTGAGTTTGCAAGACCAAGAGTCGTCTCGGTCTCGCATTTGAGCAACAGTAATGATGAAAAAGAAAAATGATGAATAATTTATATTTTTTCTAAACACAGAACTTCGGTTAGTTTCGCCGCTCAAAAGTCCTCTTTCAATGGTTTAAACAATGATAAACTCTATGTTCATTTAAAGCAAATTTCATCTGGTGACAATGAAGCAATTATTAATTACTCAAATTAAATATGGCTTTAGTTATTGCTTTCGATTCAATAAAATAAAATGATTCACTTAAAAAAAAACAACTTGGATTTCTTACTTTTCTGTTGAAAATTTGCCCATTGTTTATATGAACTTTTTTGTAGGTCTTGACTTCTGCTATCAATCTTATCTAAATTTCTCTCTACTTACGTGACACCCTGTATAAATTAATCCGATTCAAAATATTTGTACTGTTTTTTTTTTTTTTTTTTAGTTTACGATTTATAGTTACTTATATTAAATAAAACCTCGTTTATACTTATATTGCTTTGTATTTCAAATATTTAGCCAGGTCTTCACTTGTATATATTATATTAAGTGCCGTAGGCTTATGAGCTTGAGGAGTCAAGCCTTAGTTCGGTGGAATCGATGACAAGGAATAGCATGCGCATGACGAACAGCTACAGGAGCCTGGATTGTTTGGGATACATAAAGCCTCTGAGGATTGGTGCCATGCTCAAGGTCCTGTTGCTTGCATTACTTCTTTCCAGTGAGTATTTGGCCCCCCTTAAACGAAATCCAACTTAATCTCCCAAGTTTTACTCATTTATATACGATTCTCCCTTTACGATAATTACAACGTGTATCATTCGTCTGAAAGGTTTACTCCTCTATCCCAAGATGAATAATTAATTTTTTTATCTGTTCTAATACCCTTGATAATTCTATCATCATTTTATTGTGACTGGTAAAGAGCATTAACGAACACATTTTAAAACACGTAATTTATAAATGATGTTAAATATCTACCAAAAATAATTTAATTAAACTTAAACCTCCTCGTTTTAAATTTACACCATACAGTATCAACTATTGGAATATGTGATTTAGATTAATGGTTATTTAAACTTAATGGTGGCATTGAGTTGCTCAATTTTCAATGAAAGATTCAAAAGCAAAATCAAAAGCAGTTTTGAATAGCAAACAATTTTTTTTTTTTTTTTCGAAAAACAAAATCTTATAGGTACTTTTTAAAAACTATATTTGAAATGAAACCGCCATCGGTTGTTAAGCGTATATTTTATAAGCCTTTGATATATTGTTTTTATCAACCATGAATTCGTCAACTCAATAAATAGTTTATACTTTCAATTCAGTTGTAATTCTACAACTTTTTTCAACAATTGAATTTTTAACTTAATAAAATATTCTACATTCATTGAAGGCGTATTTTTATATATAATTACAAATGACAATGAATCTGGGAGAGCGGGACTCACTTGTAGATTCGTAATGCCTTTTAATATGATATACGATTAATAATAATTTATTCTCAAAAATTAAATACAAGAATAACCGGAATAACTTTAATAGTAACTGAAATTAAATCTTGCTCATCCAAGTAATTGATATTGAAATCATTTGGTCCAACATGTTCGTTTTCTGGGATCACATTTGTAAATCTTAGGCAGAAATCATTCGATGGATTCAAGATCTTTGAATATATTGGTGTAGTGGGTAGCAAGGTTCGTGTGCAGACAACTGAAAACATATTACAAACTCCTGGTTCAAAACTAAAAACTCTTATTCAATTAATTAAAGATTTTGACAGGGCCAGGTGCCTGTTTTACATATGTTGGACTTCGAATGAATGTGGTGTACTATTTTTTTACTTCGATTTTACAGAACGCCTTCTCGTTTGATTTTACAGAGTTCCCTTCTAGATTTAATTTTAGCTTACCTTATTTTCCAATCAGCTTAAACAGTTAGTTGTTATTTTACATAATTCAAGTTCAAGCTAAGGTTTTACTTTTGTTCGTAAGATCTTTTATCGCAAGAGTAAGAAGGATTACTCAGTCCAATTCCAGAAAATAGATCCAGTGTGACATTGAAATGAGCAACTTCCTTATATATATATATATATATATTATATTGGAAGGAGATGGCCCGGGGTGGCGGTCATAAATAGACTGAATGGTGGCAAAACTATTTTATTAAAAGCCAACGTTTCGACCGGACTTTGCAGGTCTTCTTCAGGTAAGTGTGTTCAGTTAGGAGTTTCACTTAAAACTGAAGTTCTAGAAGTTCTAGAACCTCTAGAAAAGCCAGTTCTAAGTGAAACTCCTAGCTGAACACACCTCTCTGAAGAAGACCTGTAAAGTCGGGTCGAAACGTTGGCTTTTAATAAAATAGTTTTGCCGCTATTCAGCCCATTTATGACCGCCACCCCAGACCATCTCCTTCCTTTATAATGCAACGGTCAACTATTAAATATTCCATTATATTATATTATATATATATGTGTGTGTGTGCATAATAACCTTATATTATATATTTATAATAATTATATCTGATTTTCCCTCTTTATTGTGATACTTTTTCCCCCTCCTTTTATGTCAGTTCTTAATATTTTCATAAATTACTAACATTTTACAGATAATAAAAAAATCAAAAACAAATTAAACATCGAGACTTTACTAAGTCGCACACATCATGAATATTTTGAAAAAAAAAAATGAAAAGGCAAAATTTTTAATATTATATTACTTCATAATTGAATAAATTACAACAATATGAAGTTAAAGATGAGACCCTGTGTGGCTAGGTCGGCTAATCGGCAATCGCCGAGGGCCTCAAGCCATGGGGCTCCAGGAAGGTCCAAAATCTTTGCTTTGTATAGTAAGAATAGTTGATGCTCCGTTCTATGTAACCAACCAAACCCTACACCATGATCTTAATATCCTATTTGTCTTATCCCTCAAAAATTTTCCAAATTCCACCAAAACCTTACATATCATCCAAATCCAGTTGCACAATCCATCTCTAGAACTACTCATCCCTACAATCCTCCTCGAAGGTTGAAGTGGCAGTGGCCTAGAGACTTGTTGTAAGAATATATTGGAGTTCTGGCAATGGCCAGATTCTCCACTCAAGCCATGTATGTCTGTTTATAGTGTCTCGGCTCAGCCTCCATTGGTAATACCTTTGATGCGGCTGAGTGAAAGACGCTGGGATCTCCTAGAGTCCTGCCTGTCCCTCCATGAGTGTGGGGAATGGCTTGGCTCGGAGATCTTGAGTGACTTAATATTGTATAAAAGCATGTGTTTATTTAAATATTTATTTTGTTAGATTAGTTTATTTTTGTTTAGTTTAGTATATTTTAGTTTAGACACATTTATTTTAGTATTATTATATTGCTTTTTATTATTTTTATTTATTGTGCATAATATGAATGAGCTACTCTATATAACTATTACTATTGTCCTTAAATGTGACAGATTGTAATATATCTCAATAGTAAATAGTAAAATAGGAAACAAAATATATATTTGGAGCTCATCGGAGGAACTCTAGAAATTTTCAGAAATACAAAACTATTATTTTCGCGTCCAAACATACCACGGTACTAAAAAAATATATAATAACAATATTCTGGACCCTCTGAGGGCCTCACTCCAATCATTCTACAGCCGTAAAAGAAAACAAAACCTTATTTTGGGGTACTAGAAAAAAAAAATATATATATATGTATATATATATATATATATGTATATATATATATATATATATATATATATATATATATATATATATATATATATGTATATATTTTTTTTTTCTAGTACCCCAAAATAAGGTTTTGTTTTCTTTTACGGCTGTAGAATGATTGGAGTGAGGCCCTCAGAGGGTCCAGAATATTGTTATTATATATTTTTTTAGTACCGTGGTATGTTTGGACGCGAAAATAATAGTTTTGTATTTCTGAAAATTTCTAGAGTTCCTCCGATGAGCTCCAAATATATATTTTGTTTCCTATTTTATCATCGTAAAATGATTGGGGGTCCCAACTGAGTGTCCTGAATGTCGTTATTTTGTATTTTTTTATAACCGTTGTATATTTGGTCAAATTAATAATTGTTTTGTATTCGTTTATTTCTGAAATTTTCTAGAGATTCTCCAGTGGGCCCCGAATATCGTTATATTATAGTTATCAGGTACCATTGTATGTTTGGCCACATAAATAATTGTTTTATCTTCGTTCATTTCCACATATTTTTGGGGTCCCATCATAAAGTTTATGTACTTTTTTTTTGTCGCCGTAGAATGATTGGGGATCTCCTATGAGAATTCTCAATGTCGTCATTTTTTTAAATTTTTATTTAATAACCTCCTACCTACCATTTCTTATATACGAGGGATTGTTCTAAAGATACAATTGAACCTATTCTAACCAAAGTGGAAGTGTCGAGGTTCATTTCATGAATCTGCCACGAAATAAATGTCAACCCCTCCCTGGCCGGATTCGAACCGGCTTCGCTAGACCCGATAATGCTAAAACAGGCAACGCTCTAACATGCTCGGCCATCACGACCTCATTGTCGTCATTTTGTGTTGTTTTTTTTTTGTACCGTGGTATGTTTGGTCCCAAAAGTAAGTGTTTTATATTTCCAAACCAAAAAACTAATTTTTCTGGGGTTCTTCCGCTGGGCCTTCAACATAAATTTTTTGTACTATCGCCGTAGAATGATTGGAGGCCCCCAATATCGTTATTTTGCATTTTTCAACCTTATCAGTAGCTTGATATCTTTGCTGAGAGGCAGTACTGTTGTGGCTGACAGCGAGCTGCTCGATTCAGGTATCTATGCTAAGTTTAAAATAAAATCGAAGAGAATCCCGTTGTTTATTTAAGAATACACAGATCAAAATGTTTTCTATAAACATAACGAACAGCTTTTGTATATTATTAAAATGTAGTTAAATGACCTATTACCTGTTATCTCTATCTTAAATTATATATAAATATATATATTGTCCTGATAAGAGAGGGCTCCACTTCAGACTTTAGCTCAGGGCCCCAAACGGTGCCTGAAGCACTGAAGATAAAAAAGTAATACTTTTAGTTGTTTGGCAATAATAACTTCCAGTTGTTAACAATTGAGTATATTTTACTATCAACGTTACATGTTAACAAGTTAGTTGACGTTTCGCGACATTTATTCCCATCTTCAGAACTGCAATTCCAATACTCTTGTGGATGAAAGGCTAAAAATTGTTTAAGTTATAATAATGTGCTTGTTACATTACATATTTGAATTATGTTTGTTACAATAAATTTGTAGTTACCTTAAATTTAATAATAATAATGTGCTCCATCGTCAAATTTCTAATTCATATTCTAAAATTTCCGACAGCTCCAACACTTACTAGACAAACGTTCCAAACTTTCAATTAATTACAAAAGACTTATCTATATAACTATAATTAGACCTATATGGACATACGGAGTTGAGCTTTGGGGCTCCACCAAACCATCGAATTTCTATCGTATCCAATCCTTACAATCCAAAATCCTCCGTAAAATCCTTAATGCTCCATACTTTGTCACAAATAAAACCATTCATAAAGACCTTAATGTACCATATGTCGCTGATTTAGCTCGAGCCAGATACCTATCCTTTCATGATAAACTCCATTCCCATCCGAATCCACTTGTTCCCAGCCTTGCTTCTTCCTCGATTCCTGATAATCCTCCTAGGCGTCTGAAAAGGA